TCCCATCGCCTCGTGTTCGTCGATCTCCCTCTGAGAGGGCTCATGAGGTGCCTTCAGCACTCTCGGGCGAGCCTCCTCCTCGCCCTCGTCGGCCTGCTGTCCATCAGGAGCAGCTGGCAAAGCGTCGGCCGCAGCAGCTGCCGCTGGCTGAAAACCCGGCGGTCTCACGTCGGAAGGTCCCGACCCCGCCGCTGCCGCCCCCGCAGCCGACGCCGCCGGGGGCCGTGGTATTAAGTCCTCCAGTGGGCTTACGCCGAGGGCTGCCTCCTGGGGACTGTCTTCTCGAGGATCTCCAGCAGCTCCTCCTTCGACTTGCCGCTGAGGAGCTCCACTAGCTCGGACTTCGACTTCGCCGAAAGTCCCTCCTCGAGAGGAGCAACCGAGCCAGGTTGGCCCTTCTTGAGGTAGAAGTTGTAGACGCCCTGCTCGCGATAGACCGGCAGCATCTGGTGCTTCGCCGCCTTCGCCTCCTTCTCGAGCATGCCTACCACGCGCTTGCCGATTGGGCTCTTCTCGTGGAATATCCAGCCGCCATAGCGACCCAGGAATGAACACTGTCCAGCTCCTGCTGCCTGCCCCACCGAGATCAACGGCTTGTGCACGTTCGTCACGCGTCCCTTGAGTGCTCGTAGCACTCCGTACTCGTCCTCCGCCTTGAGCTGCAAGCTGCCCTCGTCCGGGACGAGCTCACCACTGGCCGTACGATACGTGCTGCCGTTGCCCTCCATTCCCGTCGGCGGCGCGAAGCTCCGAGGGAATGCTGAGATAGCTGCACCGCTGTCCCAGTTGAACTTCATCCAGTCGTCCTGCGCGAAGGGGGAGAGATCGACCGCCGCTACGCCGCGGCCGCTGCCGCTGGCGAGCTCCAGGCAGTCCAGGCTGCCCATGTCCAGAGCGGCGACCTCCGCTTCAGGCTCCTCCTCCAGGCTGCCTGCAGCCTTGCCGCCGGCCTTGCCGCCGCGGCTACCGGCTTTACCACCAGCGTTTGCCCCCGTTGCGGATCCAGTTCCAGTCCTCGAACTGGATCCCTGCTCTCTCTTCCAGCATTCGGATGCCTTGTGGCCCCATCTCTCGCAGTTCCGACAGTAGCCGTCGAAGCGCCCGGTAGTGTTTCGGGGTGCCGTGTGCCCTGAACCACGGCCCGAACCCGTCGGGGACGTGCGGGAGCCTGAGTACGATCCGTTCGTCGATTTGCTCTTCCCCTTCGGATCCTGAGTCTTGCCTTTCCCTTTGCTCTTGCCGTCCTTGCCCTTGCCTTTGCCTTTGCCCTTCGGGGCTCCGAACGACCCGACGTCCATGTCGTCCGGATGATGAGCCCTCGCGCGAATCGACGGCTCCTTGATCTTCACGCCGGTCCGAGCCTCCACGATCGTCATCACCTCGTTCAGACTGTCCTGGAACGTGTCGAGCCGATGCTTGTTGAGGACGAGGTGATTCTCGATGTCCTGAGGCACGAGCATCTCGAGAGCCGCCATCTTGATATCCTCCGGCAGCTCGGCTAGACCGTCTTCTCCTTGGCGGCGTTCGTACCTCCCTATCTGCTGGATCCACTTCTCTAAGGCGGATCCCAGCTCGTCCGCGCTGCACTTCGGAGGCGAGATGATCGACCTCAGGATCAGCCTCTTTCTCGGACCTGTCGTCGGATCCCACCTGCGGTGGAGCTTCCGCCAGGCTTCGAGACCGTTCCCATCGGGAGCGCCAGTCACGAGGTCGTTGCTCTCGCTCCCGTCCGCGGTCGTGCTGATCAGCGCCGCGTACAGCTGGTTGACCTTTGTCTCCAGCTCTGGCACTCCATCGTGCGCCGCTTGAGCCCCTGCGATCGTCACGGGGCGTTCGGCTTCTGCAGCCCACCGAAGAACGGGACGAAAACTCTCCCCGTACACGCCGATCACGTAGTTCTCCATCTTGCGGTTCCAGGCGCCGAACTTCTCCTGGTCGTCGCCCATCGTCGTGGGCTTGCCAATCCCTTTCGTGTCGACGAGACCGTGAGCGGCTGTGCCCATGCTCGATGCGCCTCGGATCTGCTCGCCCATCCGCTCGATCGCCTGCGGGATTGCCGCGAGGCCTCCCGCCACTTGCTGCTGAAGCCGATGATTCTCGCTCTCCAGCCTCCTCATCTCGTCGGCGGCCTGGCTCATCTGCGCCGCGAACTCCTGCCTCAGCAGTTCGAACTGCTGCCGAACCTGCTCGTCCATGCTTGACAGCGTGTCTCTCGGCGAGCTCCTCCCGGCTCTCTGCTATCTGCTGCCTCGTACGCTCAAGGTCCGTGACCCTGCCGAGGACTTCCTTCTGCGCTCTCTCGACGACGTCTGATGAGTTCTCCGAGGGATGGTCCTCGATGTGCGCGAGGTCCCGGAGCTTCTCGCCAGTTTCCCTCAGGTCGTGCTTGAACTGGAGTGCCCTGCGCCTTGTCTCGATCGCCGCCTCACTCCGCTTGCCGCGCCTGCGGCCGCTCTTCCCGGCCCCTGCCGGACGCTCGGTCGCTGCCGAGCCCGCCGCG